TATCATGTCTGCATCTTGTACAGCAATTAACCACTAGGAAGAATGTATGCAATGTGTTAATTATTGAAACTGTCCTACCAATTTGATTTGAAAAATATAAAAAAATAAAAAGGTGTCCAGCCATAGTTATAAGTACATTTACAAAGAAAATTTAAAAGCTTGCTAGCCTAGACTAAAAGTAACAGTGATCATTGGAGATTTAAAAAGATCATTGTGTTGCCAGCAGTTAGGGCAGGAAACAGAGGCAGGGAGCTCCTTCATTCTCCACAGAAAGTCTCCAAAGATTCCCATCAGAAAAGGCTGAGGAGAACAATAGGAAAGAAGTGATCTTCCACAGGTTGAATACAAAGGGAGTCATGTCCTCAACTGTCTAGATGTTCTGCCTTTCCCAGTCACACAGCAAAAATGACTTAAAATCTTTTCCCAAAGACTATATCCTATGTTTTCTTCCACCGTTATCAAAAGAAACAGGTCTATAGCAGAAGAGAGAACTAAAGAAATAGCTGATAGAAAGGATTTAGAAAACCTAACCCCTTTCCCCGTCTAAGTATTTAGTAGGGTGGTACAAAAAACAATGATCCCACGAAGATGACCACACACAAATCGCTTAACCTGTGGACACTTTAGTTTCACTGTAACATAAAGTTTGAAATATGATTAACCTTTCCTTGAGATGAGGGTGCTACCCTGAGTTCTGTGTGTTGACACAATAAAATCCCCCTAGTCTTTCAGTGTGAAGAACCTTTCATGGCCATGGTCAGAGAAATGTGTAGCTGAGAGAAAATGGTCAAGCAGATGCAATATTTCTTGGCTGTGAATATGAAGAAAAGTAGCCATCAGTCATGGTAACAGGATCAAGTGATGCCCTCCTGAATTTAAAAAAAAATCAAGATAATAGGTAATAGTATTAGGTCTCCTACTACGAAACATAAGCACACTGACACTTCTACATTTTAGCCCAATGAAAGTCTTGTTAGACCTCTGGTATATAGAACCCTAACATAACTGGTATGAAGTCATTGAATTTGTAGTAATTTGCGATAACAACAATAGAAAAATAATACAGCTAGCAATTAACTAATCTGGACATAGAGAAACACAGTATCTGGCCCTGACTTTGTGGTTGCATAACACCAGTATTTCAGTACAAAACAAGCCTACCAAGAAATAAGACACTGACTCAGCATCAGGGATAGCTGAAGTCTCATTAGCTGCCTTAGATGCCACAGCCTGAGCCAAAACATTACCAAGCTCCCAAATTGGACAAGGATAGATGGTTCCAAATTCTGAAATTTTCTGAAGTGTTAAATGGCTCATACATTTTAAGTTTGAAGTTCTTCCTGTCCTTAAAATAAACATTTGGATCTGCTTCAGAGATTCTGATTCAATGGGTATGGAGTGGGTTTCATATTGGTGTAGAGAAGTACTTTTTGTAAAGCTTTCCTGGTGATTTTAATAAACCAGGATGAAAAACTGTGCTCCAAAGAACAGGATTCTTATTTACAACATATTGAGGCTTGAGTTATTAATTTAGCCAAATAGGCTGCATAATGATGTTGAGAGGATTGGGGTAGTATTCCCCAGTCTATTAGAGACAAGTTCATATGAATTGATTTACTGGCATTTCTAACAAATGTCAAATATGTATCACCACATAGTTCCTGTGAATGTCCACGAAGCCTCTGTAAAATTTTGTATTAGAATACTGTTGCTATCAGCCAGTGACACTCCAGAAGCCGATTAATTAGCAGGTAAATAAAATGGTCACATTGTTTAATGGCATAATATGGACATAAACCCAGGTTATAATTGTGGCATATTCAATACTTTCGCAGAGCTCATCAGTGTGGGTTTGACAAGAAGCTCCTGAAATACAATGTAGCTCTCTGGGATAATGCTGTGGCCTAGACGGAAAAGATCTCTACCAGTCGTGGCAAATGCATAGCACACATGCTGAGGTGAGAGGTTTGTATCACAGAAAGCTCTAAAAGATTACCATCAGTGATCTGTAGTGTAAGAGCAACTGATGGAATGAGTACATAGGGTCACAGCTTACTCATAAAGCACAAGCATACAGTGTGGGGCTTGTTTTTAGTAAAAGCAGTCACTAGCAAATCTACCAGTAGGGAACCTACTTAGGAATTTGTTCAAAGACATGAAAACTGTGATCCTATAGTATCTCAGAAAGAATCATGTTGAATAGCAATTTTGATCAAAGATTTGACTCACAATGTGGATATAAAATATTCCCTTCATCTTAACTGTCATCTCTAAAAGGCAAAGATAATGGAATGATGGAATGTATTCTTTGAGAAGTAGATAGGAGGCCCACAAATTCTTGAACTCTAATGAGCCATATGTCTTCTTAGTGTTTGCTTAAGCCATACAATTCCATAATTAATATGATCAAGGAATGAATAAAAATAAGTGAAACATGTACCTACCACATAAAACAGACATTCCATTCCCAGTAATTAACCCAAGAAAATTACACTGTATGCCTATGTTTGTACACTGATGCTTATAGCAGCTTTATTTTTCATAAAAAAGTGGGAAAAGCCTAAATACTCATTACTGGGTGAATGCATAAACAATTTATGATGTATGAAATTGAGATCATATTACTCAGCAATCAAAAGAATTAGCTATTAATGTACAAATTATGAATTCCAAAATAATTCTGTTGCGTTAAAGGAGATCTATTGGTTCATTTTTTGCCCTTGCAAAAAGTTATCTGAGGATGACAAAGGAAAAATATATTTAGTTCATGGTTTCAGAGGTGTCAGTCCATGGGTTGCTGACCCCATTGACTGTAGACCTGTAATGATGCAGAAATAGTGTGCTGAAAGGAGGCACCAGAGGAGTTTCTCACTTAATGGAAACCAAGAAGCAGAGAAATCAAAAGAGGGTATTAGGATATAGTCCCCAAAGATGTGTTCCAATTGTCCACTTCCTTTGACTAGGTTACACTTTCTAAATACTGCCATCCACAAATTTCAATTTATCCATGGACTAATTCAGTGATGGAATTAAAGCATTCATGATTCAATCACTTTTTAAAAATTCATCAGCTAGCAACCATAACTGTAATACAAGGCCTTTGGAGTACATTTTAGACCCAAACCATAACAGAGAACAAAAAGAAAAGATATAACAATTCTACCTAGATTAAATTGTATTTACAGAAATTGCAAATCCATTATAATGTTTGCAAAAACAATAATTGTGTGCCTTGGATGCAGTACAAGGGGAAGGAGAGAGGAATTTTTAATGAAATATAAAAGAATTTTGGCAGTGATACACCAATTATATTAATTTAGTCATTATTTCTTGGTGAGAAAGATAGAAGATAGATAGATGATAGATAGACAATAGATACAATAGATCATAAAACTGTGAAAGCACTAACCAATACAAAGCACAAATGGTTTTCCTAAAGCAATTATATGGATTTGAGATATAAAAGTGAAAATTATTTGAGACATCTAACACTCACTGTTTCGGTGACAGTAACTTTTAATCTTTAATAGAAAACTTTAATTGACAGCTTTATATTATTGGATATATGGATATTTTTACCATGTCTGGAGTTAGTTTCATAGAGATTGGCTAAGTTTCATATATCACACTTATTAATAGAATTTGTTTCAATCCACAAGTGTGTCTGTATTGTGTGTGTGTGTCTGTGTGTGTGTGTGTGTCTGGAAGCTCTCTGAAGGAATTTCTGGAATGAGTCTCCCTTGGGATGCTGAAGAGACTAAACCAAATACCCAGAGCAGTAGCAAAATGAGGCAGAATGAGACATCCAGAAACACATGTCAATCTTTTTCTTCTATTCTTCTATTCTTCCCTTTTATTCCATCCAAATCACAAACCTATTGCTTGTTGCTAATAGACTGATCTCCCCCATCAGTTTGCCTGACAATATGCTATTCATCTTTGGAAATGTCCCACAAACACCCTGAAGCACATGTCCTTATTATACTAGCTGCTTTTTATTTCTATTTTTATTTTTTAATTTATTTGCTACAGGGTCTCTCAGTGCAGCTTGAACTCATAATGATCTTCCTGATTTTAGCCTCCATCATGCTGGGATTACAGGGGTCCACCACCACTCTCAGACCTATGGCCAGCTCAGCATGCTAGGGGACAGGGCCAGCATGGCATGTGGTCCCTGAGCTTGCCTGAGCAGGCACTTAGTCCTCTGAGCTATCTCACTGGCACCTAGCTGCTCTTTAATCTACTAGAGTTGACAAATTATGACTAATAGTCACAATTCAGTCTTTCTTCATCAACTTGTCAACAAAACACATTTGCTTCAATCAGATAATAGACAGTTCATGATGGGCAGTTCAGGTCATGTGAAAACTTGGTGTCCAGTGCTCAAGCACTCAGTTTCTACTAAGGCCCAGCTAGCAGGACAGGGGTTATTTTTCGAAATGAAGCAGCTATCTGTAGATAATGGTAGAGCCTTGCTCCAAAATCTCATGGGCCACCACTGTGATTCACCTACGGAACCTTCCACAGGTTCCCAACAGTACCCCTTCTCTGCCACGGACATCTTAAGTACCACTGCATCTGGTGGATCCTATGGTGAAAGCAGCACAGCAGCCTGAACAGCAATTGGGACCTGTTCCAACTGTGGTGGAGTCTTCTCCTTGATCCTACTCAAAAATAACAGCTTTCTGAGTCACGTCGCTCATGGGCTGGAGTAGCACAAACTCTTTTGAAACAGAATCAGCATAACAGAAGGCTAAAGATGTGGCTTATTGGAAAAGTGTTTGGCAAAACACATGTGGCCCTTGTTTCAATCCCAGCAACACCAATAGGAAAAGAATCCCACTTCTGCATCAATTTTTACGACTTTTTGATGCTAAAGCATGCACGTGTTTCTCTAAGTCCAGCCGCCAGTATTTAAAAATGGCTTGGGATAAGAAATAACTGGACCTAAAAGGGCTACAAATGTCTTTGTGGGAACTGGTTCACTCTATCTTGAGTGACACATCGGTAGGAATCACCAAGCAAACTGACACCCCATGTTCATGCCAGAAGAATGAATCAATCAACTTGCAGCTCTGACAGGGTATTCAGAACACTAACATGAGTTAGGTCACAATAAGTACAGAAACAATCAAACTTGCACTTCTAGAGCTGCAAAAGTGAAACATAGCCGGGAGCAGTGCTGATTTACAGAAGTTTGCACAACAATGGAAATCTTTTGTGAGTGCTGCCCACATTGGCAGCCACAAGCCACAAATAGTTACTGACACATGAACTGTGGAACTTGTGAAACTCAAGAACTCAAAGTTTAGTTTGATTCAATTCTATTTATCATAAATTTAAAATTTTTGTTAAGTTTTTTTATATATATTATATATATATAATATATATATATATGTATATGTCACATTCATCATAGGAAATGTGTACCTTTTCAAGATCTATCTTGATTTGCTTTTTCCCACTTTCCTTGCCTCTTCCTTCAGGCCCTCTTCTTTCCCCTTTCCATTTTATCCTTCTTCTCTCTTCTTTTTCTTTTTCCCTTCTTTTCTATAAACTTAAATTTTAAGAATAAACACATGCGACTAGTGGCTACCTACGTTTGCTAGCATGAATAAAACTGTTAGTATTAAGTAGACCAACATTTTATGTACTGAATCTTATTTTCAGATATTGTTATACATGATAACAATATCCATCTGTGAAATTATAATTCCCAGGTGCAATAAATGATGAGATTACTTTAATTCTTCCAATTAAACTTTAAAACATGTTTCCTTAAAGCAATGTATTCACCACTTTTTAATAGTACATGACTCTGCCGTTTTGATGGTGTTTGGCTCAGTTACAGCTCTGCCCCATTTTTAGCATTTTTATCTATACCAGAATTTCAAATTAGAATGGGCTCACTGTCTTGTATTAGAATTTTCTAAACTATTAATTACAGGATCTGTAAAAAGTTTTGTTCCATTAGATCTGGGATATAATATTGGATCATTCCTCTCAAGAGAGGAAAAGACAGCATTCCAGCACTGGGTGGAGGAATTAAAGTTCCTCAATTAAATTAAACTATTGCTGCATGTAAAAGTTTTTTTTTAAATAATTATATTGAGAAACAAATAGCAATGAGACAGTTCCAAAACTGATTAGTAGGACAGTTTCAATAATTAATACATTACATGCTGTTGTCTTCTTAGTGATTATTTATAGTACAAGATGCAGACATGATATCCTGTCCAAACACTATTAGTACAAATCTTTCTTCCTATTGAATTAAGAGAAAGTAGCTGTATATCCATCCTATTTTGTATATACAGATACAAAATGGTCCTTCATTTGTATCCCCGTTTTCTGTTTACTTTTGTCAGAGATGGTATTCCACTGTCATTCAAATATTGTAAGTGCGTGAATTCAGCAAAACATTCCACTATAGTACAGTAGTCAATAATAGTAGTGGGTTAAGCATAGGACTGGCAATGTCACAAGTCATTGACTTGAGCCTTTTACAGCTCAGCATATTAATATAGTTTTACTTTTTATACTTTGTTTTTATACTTTTTGCTGGGTAACCAAGATAAATCAAGACCAAGATAAATCAAGACCTATAGAACAAGAAAGGTAACTTTTGTATCTGACAAGGTCAGTCAAATCCCCTCAGGATTTATCCTGAAACCCTGTACCACAGTTTGTAGATCCTTTGCGTCAGTCATGTAGATGAGTCACAGTCATTGTTTGACCAATTTGCTCTCTGAGAGGGCCTGAGAGAATGTTTTTTCTCCATGTAACTCTCCTTAGGCACACTCTACATCATTTATCACTTTCCTTTGTGGCCCTGTAATCTCCTTGATCAAAAAATTTGGAACGCAACTGAGTTACATGATGTTTTACTACAGGTTCTCCTATGTCTTGAGTCTTTACTGACCTTGAAGGCCAGGGCCAAAATGTTGACTGTCCTTGCAGCCCTTCTTTTTCTCTAATTTTCAGTCTGAAAAGTTAAGTTGTTAACCTTCCAGAAGAGAAGCTTAATAATATTATTACCCTATAACATA